TTTTTAAATTATAATATAATAGATTTCCTTACAATAATAAAATATTAAGTGATAATTTTCATTAATTAGCATTCATAAAAATATTACACAAATTATATAATGCATCTTTAAGTTATAATATAATAAACACATTTCAAAGTAATAAATAATAAAATATTACAATAAAATAATATATTAATTATTATAGAATATAAAAATATATATATATAAAATTATAATTCATAAATCATCAATTTTTAAAATAATAAATTATACTATTAATAAGCATTCATAAAAATATTAAATAAAGAATTCTAATACATTTTAAAATTACAATAATAAATGCATTTAATTATAATAAAATATTAAATTATAATTAATAACAAATTATATACTACATATTTAAATGTTAATAAAATCAATTTAAATTAACTTCTACAATTTTCATAACATTAAGCACATTTATATAAATCGCTTAAATTGTAGGGTATTTACAGTCAATTAATAAAACATTAAAACAGGCTTTATGTATTTATGATCTATTTCTGCATACATGTCTTGAGGCTGTGGAGTGAAATATGATTGAGATGTTCTTGACAGGTTTTGTGTGATTCACTATAAAACATGATTAAAATCTTGCAGAAACAGAACTGAGTGTGGTGTTGAGACTCACTTCTCCTCTCCGGTCAGCACTTTCTCCAGATCTCTGCGAGGAGTCTGTCCTCCGGAGCTGTGGGAGGAAGCAGACGGAGAATGAGCCAATCACACGCATCCGCTCACGTCACATGCTCTCAGTGTCTGAGTCTAGAGTCTGTTCAGCGTTCACTCATCTGGTCCACATCGGCCGGGTTTGAATTAGTGTGGGTTTGGGTTTGATCGCATACACATGAATGCAAAACCGCAGCAAACACACACACAATGCAGAGACTCATAGGCTTTCACAGGCATAGGATGAGAATGAATGAAAATGGGGTGATGGAGAGGGTGAGTTTGGGGTCAAAGGTCAAGACACACCAGAGAAAAGAATCTGGCCAAATGGAATGACTTCAGAAGAATCTGATTCAACTGAATCATACCGAACAGACGGATCAATTACAGTAGAATCTGATAGTATACTGACTGAATAACGTAACCGAATCAAACTGAATCCGACTGAATAGAATCTGATCCAGACGCACAATTTGGAGGGGAAAAAAAATGTAATAGCAATTTTTCGGATAATTTAATTGAGACTTAAAATGTGATTTTTTTAAAAACAAAAAACTCCAAGTTTGCTGTGCTTATTTGAAGGTTTAAACAATTTAATAATAATAATAATAATAATGTAATTTTAGAGTTGTACTGAGAAAAAAAATCATATATAATTTTATTATTATTATTCTATAATTAAACAAAAATAAGTTACACCATTACATAGGAAAAATCTAGAATTGAAGATAAATAAAAATTAATAATAATAATAATATTAAATACAAATATTATTGTAGCATTTCACAAAATCTGGTATTAAAGATAGATAACAACAACAACTACTATTATTTTATTTACACTAAAATATATAATTACAATAAATGTATGACTATAATAATAATAATATCTATTTATTCATTTCTTTTTCAACCAAAATTAATAACATTATTATAGAAAATATAATTATTATTGTTGTTGCTATAAGATTTATTATTATAAAATAAAAATATTGCAACTTCACAGAAAAATCTACTATTTAATATTAATAATTATTATTATTATTATTGTTTTAATTATTTGTTTATTTGTTTTAATACAAATACTTATGGAATTTATGGATATAATAATAATTATTATTATTTTCTTTTTCAAGCAAAATTAATTATTTATTATTTACTAAACAATCACAACTTCGGTTTTTCAATTAATCACGCAGCCCTGATTCTAACTGTATGAAATATGAACCGAGATCACATGATCTAAGAGAATCTGATTAAATAGCACAATAAAACAAAAAAGAATAGAATAGAATGATTGTTTCTATCTTTCACACACACATTAGTGTTAGAAACATTACTGATCTTGAGACAGTCCAGAAGGTTCGTGCTCAAACACACACACACACACACACACACAGAACCTGAGCGCCGGGGCAAAGACGTCTGGCTCTTCCCGTCTCTCAGACGTCTGAGGCTCACTTACACACACCACAGGAAAAGGAAGGAGGGACAGAATGATTGACAGGCGGAGAGCGTGTGTGTGTGCGTGTGAGTCTGTGTGTGTGAGTGAGTGAGTGTGTGTGTGTGTGTGAGAGAGTGTGTGTGTGTGTGTGTGTGTGAGAGAGTAAGTGAGTGTGTGTGTGTGTTAGAGAGAGAGTGAGTGTGTG